AATAACACTATCAACTCAAATTCTGTTAAACAATTTTGTCTTTTTCAAAAATCGTATTATGATTTGCATATGTTTACTCCCTAAATTCATTTGTAATGAATCTATTATGTCAAACCTTTCCTTAATGTGTCTGAACTGTTTTATCATCAATTGTCTCTCTTGTTTGTCCTTCTGACATTCTTTCATAACATGTTCTATGGTTTCATTTTGTCCACAGTAATCACATTTCCCTGTATTGTGTTTTTGTATTGCAAAAAAGTGTAAAATTAAATCCTGTGTGTCCAATTCCCAACCGTGTTATCACTCTTTCTTCTTTTCTGCTCCTTTTTCCAGCTCTCGTTTCTCCCACCACCCTTTGGATCTTGTAAAACCACATCCCTTTATTATCTCTCTCCCATCTCTTCTGCCATTCTTTCTTCAATCTTCCTTTAATCATGCTTTTTGCTTCAGATTTACTTGTCTTAATTATGATGTTAATCTCACTTTGAACTGCTTTCTTTGCCATTTTATCTGCTTTTTCATTTCCTCTCACCCCTAWATGTGCTGGTACCCAGAGAAAAACAACAGTTAACCCCATCCTTTGTATTCTGAATAATGTGTGATTAATTTCTAGTAAAATGTCTGGCCTGCTGTCTTAGTGATTGTTTTTTAAACTCATTAAAACTGAGCTTGAGTCTGAACAGATTATAGTTTTTATAGGTTTTACTTCTTCCACCCACTGTATGGCTAGTAATACAGCAATCATTTCTCCTGTATAAACTGATAAATTGTCAGTGATTATTTTACCTACTTTTATTTGAAGTTCTGGAACTATAAATGCAACTCCTATTTCCTCTGTTGATTTTGAAGCATCTGTATATATTTGAATGTACTGATAATAACTGTTTATATAATCCTGCACTGTATGTGAGATGAAAATGAATGATGTATCTCTTTTCTTTTCCATTAATGTCAAATCAWCTGTAGCTTCTGGTGGAATCCAGGGAGGTATTACTGACAGYRGTAACATTGGACTTATTGTTAGATTTTGTATTTGATATTTCTCTGTTTCCTCTTGAATCGCCCACCCAAAACGACCTGTCTGTCCTGATGCATCTCAGTAATCCAGGTAAAAAATCAAAAAGAAAAAAATTGTATAGGTCTTCTGGACGGGTTCTTCTCTAATGAAACGTTTC